AGAGAGAGAGAGAGAGAGAGAGAGAGAGAGAGAGAGAGAGACCATTACAATCTCTGTAAATAAGACTGAGCATACAAAATGCAAGATTCAGAAAGAGAGAGAAAGAAAACAAAGGATAGATTAGAGAGAGAAAAGGCAGTTAAGGGTATCTTACTGGTGAAAAAGGGCAACTACAAGCAAAAGGAACTTTATCTTCCAAAACCAAATTCTTAACAAAAGAACGAAAGAAAAAAAGAAAAGAAAAATGCATATAAAGTTTTTGCATTCACCTTGGTCATCAAGATCTTGAGTTTCTGAGATTCTTCTTCCTCCTTTCTGCTCTTCTGAATTCCCATAAGCTTGAGTCTGACTTTTGTAGGACATAGCGTCCCTCCCTGCAAAAGAAAAAAAAAAGAAGCTAATCATAAGCACTTAAAAAGCTAAATGAGCAAGATAATCAATAAAATTTTAAGCGTCTGAGATCTGAAATCATCTTTGACAACTAAGCGTTCCACGGGTGGGGGGGAGGAGAAAGGAGAAAATTCCACTGGAAACAATGAAATAAGCCCTAGAAACACAATTCCATTCCCTAAACCCCATAAGAACTCTAGACTCTCCAAAAGATGGCCTTTCTATTAAAAAATACATATACCAAAAAAAAAGGAAAAGAAAATACTTGATAAGCAAACACAAGAGAAGCCTTAGAAGCATAACTTCAACAATACATATCCTAAAAAAATACCAAGATGTCCAAATCCAAACACACTGGCAAATCATAGACATAAACGCATGGACAAAAAATAAAATAAACTCCGTAAAGACCTAGTGTGATCTTATAACCAGCAAAGTCTCATCTGCTTTTGTTACAAAACTGAACAGAAATTTCTAGATAAACAGAGAACAGAGATGGGAAAGCAAGACTATAACCTTACCATGAAAACGGGAATTAAAAATACTAAAAACCACAAAATTAGACCTAGAAAACACAATTCTGACCCCTAAATCCTGGATAAACCCTACTAAGTAAAATATCAAATCAAAATGTTAGCATGAAAATTACATAGGAATGCACCACAAAAGAGTCCTTCCTAGAAATAGAACTTCAACACAGGAAACCATAGAAACACACTAAAAGAAGCCACAATACAGACATCCAGTTAAATCATAAGCCAAATTACATACAATAACCACAAATTCACCAATAACTTCAAGTGATCAAATGACCTGCAAATTCTCAGCCAGCACCATTATTAAAACTCACAAAATCCTTAAAAAAAAGAGGGATGAAACTAAAAGTTAGATTGTACCCCTTCTAAATTCTAACAATGAAACAAAACCAAATGGCAAGGATGTTTGATTTGTAGTCTAGGACACCACAAAATTAGACCTAGAAAAAAACAATTCGAACCCCTAGAACCCTAGAAAAGCAAAGAAACAACTCCAAAAAAAGCTCGCCATCAAAATCTCAAATCACGCTCCAATCAAGCTCAAGAAAACCACTAGAAGTTGAAGCTCAACAGCATCAACCCTACCTAAAAAAGTACAAATCCAGTCACAATCAAGTCACCGACAAAAACCAGAGAAATTCAGCATGAACCTCAAGTGATCCCAGAGCCTGCAACTTCTCAACCTCCATTTCAGCTACTAAAACTCAGAAAATCCCCAAAAACACAGAAATAAGACCAAAAGCAAGAAAACTTTAGCAATAAGAGGGTAAAACATGAGGTTCAGAGGTTCGATTTGTACAGATCAAAGAAGCCCAAAGACTTGACCAGTGAGGAAAATAACGCAACTGAAATGTACCTGAGGTTTATGGATCCTTACGTTTGTCTGGATCAATTGGGGCGTGGCCAAAAATACAGAATCATATGAAGATCTCTTCTCATTCTCATTTTCTGTTTCAATTTAGCACAATGTTAATAGAAGAAGACAAAGAAGAAAAAACAGTAAGAAGCATTACCAATAGCTTCCTAGAACATCATCTCTCTCTCTAAAGTGGGCTAAATCATTGGTGAAAAGAAAATTGAAAGGGACATGAAGCATTGGAAGTTGGGAATGTTATGACAATCCATGCCTCTCTTTAAACTAAGAAATCAAGTTGTTACACAAAGTTGAATTCAGAGGAAATGCACAGAAAATTAAAAGTAAATAAATACAAAGATGAGAGAAAAATAAGATAAACAAAGCGATTAAACCAGTTTGCTTATGGGATAAGTTTGCGTGTGATGACAACCTGAGGCATCGAATAAATCGCTTTTCTCCAATATCTCCCTTTCAACCCAAAGATTATTGCAACAAATGAATGAAAAATCTAGAAACCAGGATAACAAATCTTAGAGAGAGAAACTAAATAGAGATAGAGAATTAGAGACTAATGATCAGAAAAGCTCGGAGAATAATGATCAGAAAAGGTAATTTTTACCATTATAGAAATCACTCGGAGAAAATGACTAAAGATTTATCAAAGAAAATGACTAAAGATTTTATGTTTGAAATTTCACAGAGATTCAGAATTATAAAATTTCAACTATTTCTAAATAACCATCTCAAGAATTCAAACGATTTTTTAAGAACCATTGGAAAAAAGATACAGAAAAAAAAATTAGTCCTCAAATATACCTCAGATAAATGAGGCATCCCACTTCATCTGTGGCAAATGCTTGATGCAGATGCCTCACTCAGAGGTTACTCTCTCTTTATCTCTTTCTCTCTCTCTTGGAAAGTATTTTCTAAAAAAATCTTTTCTTAGAAAACATTTTCTTGAAAAATCTTTTCTTAGAAAATCTGTTCTTAGAATAAGTTTTAGAAAACATCTTTTCTAAAGAAACATTTTCTTAGAAAATCTTCTTTTTCTAAGAAAATATTTTCTATAAAAGATTATTTTCTAAAAAAATGTTTTCTAGAAAGTGTTTTCTTAAAATAATTCTAAGAAACGATTTAAGATTTTCTAAAAAATTGTTTTCTTAGAATAATTTTTAGAAAATCTTTTCTGGAAAACATTTTCTAATCTTATTCTGATTAGGTGTCTCTTTCTAAAAACCCATTCGCTTTTTTCCTCTCTAAAAACTCATTCTCTCGTTAAAAATTCATTTCTCTTTTTCTCTCTAAAAACCTATTTTCTCTCTAGAAACCCAATCTCTCTCTAAAACCCCTCTCTCTAGAAACTCAATCTTTCCTTCTCTCTCTAAAAACCCATTCACACGCTCTTGAAATCCAATCTCTATTTCTATCTCTAAAAAACACATTCTCTATAAAGTCCCAATCTCTCTAAAAACCCATAAAAACACATTCTCTCTAAAACCCAAATCTCTCTAAAAACCCTTCTCTCTAAACCCAATCCCTCTTTCTCTCTAAAACAAATTTTGTCTTTCTAGAAACCCAATATCTCTTTCTCTTTCTCTTTCTGAAAACTCATTCTCTCTTTCCCTCTAAAAAACCAATCTCTTTCTCTCTCTAAAAATTATTATATCTCTCTAAAAACCCAATCTCTCTCTAAAAACCCATCCTCTCACTAGCATTTATGAGACGTCAAATTAGGCCAATTAAACAAAATGAAACTCAGTAATGATGCTAGAGCGCTATTGTTTGCGCATGTCTCATCATTTCATCTATTGGAGTTTGGTTTTCTTGTAAATGATACACGCGAGGTGTGTGATCATTCGAAGAAGCATAAGTCAAATGTTGATTATACTGCCTCACGGATGCTATCAAATTGAAAAAGCGTGGAACAAAGGTTCCACAACCACCTTCCTTGAATAAAATCTTGAAAGAATGAGTTGGATAGAGAGCCCTGTGTTGATCTTCAGGTACTACCTGAAATAGTTAGACACTTAAGACACATTTTGACACATGCTAAACGAAAACATATGGGGATTGGGAAGCTCTTCAGGTATCGAATGACAAAAGAAGAATGACCAGAGAATATTAGACCTTAGTTATCCTTACAGGCTCAACAAGACCTGATATGTTATTGCAGAAGAATATAGGCTGATTAAATTTTTCATCATGCACATAAAGCTGCAAAAGGCGACAACAAGACTTGATATGTTATTGCAAAAGAATATAGGCTCATTAAATTTTTCATCATGCACATAAAGCTGCAAAAGGTGACACATCATAAATCATTGAGGGGACATGAACAACCAAACAGACACACATGAGTTCATCATTATTCCTTTTTCAATGACTATTTAACTCATGATTATGATTAGGTATAATGACATATCAAACAGTAGATGATATCAAAGGTTGTAACATACGGAACTGTCAAAACATACAAACATTTTAATGGAATTACATGACAACAGATATTCTAACTGTTGTGTGTCTTTTTCTTTTTGCCTCAACAAGACCTGATTTGTTATTGCAGAAGAATATAGGCTGATTAAATTTTTCATCATGCACATAAAGCTGCAAAAGTTGACACATCATAAATCATTGAGGGGACATGAACAACCAAACAGACACACATGATTTCATCATTATTCCTTTTTCAATGACTATTGAACTCATGATTATGATTAGGTATAATGACATATCAAACAATAGATATTCTAACTGCTGTGTGTCTTTTTCTTTTTGGCTAGGTCCACAGTTGTCCATTATGAACATGGGCAACCCATCTTAAAAGGAGACTGAGTTACACTCCAAATAAATATATATAAAACTTAACAGTTCAGATTAACTACTCATAAAGAGTTGTGTGAATTTAATTGATCCAGAAATTTACTAATCACATATTCGTCGTGCACTACTGATGATGAAACCATGATCCATCCAAAAAAAGATTCAAGTATATAGGAAGTTGTAGATCCACAACAAGAACATCAGAAGAAAGCTCACAGAGTATATGAATCCAATTCTGCATTGATAGAGAGGAACTGGCCTTTTAACAATTTACAGTCAACATCATATATGGATCTAAAACAATTCTCATTAAATGGAAAAACTCAAAATGGATAGAGTCCCTTCCAAAACACACCTAAAGGAAACCTTTGATCATAAGTTAGCAATAACAATTCAAATCCCAACCAAAACACACTAAAGAACATAAGAAACAAGACTCAACTCCCCGAACTTCCTCTCAATGATAATTACAAAAGGGATAATTGTGAACAATCTCATATTAATGGCAGAAGCCCAAACACTATCGTAAGCGCATTAAGCAGCAAACAAAACCAATTAAAAATGTATCCAACCTGGGACACTGACCTACAACTGTCTGGGATTTCTAGATAATGGTATCCAACCTGGACAAGAACGACAAATTCAATTGTGAATTTTTTGAATATGAACTATCAAGCGGTTAGAGCCATGATCCATGCAAAAGGGAGAAAACAAAAAATCACATACTAGTTGATATTTTTAAAAAGTAACTATGACCTCAGGGGAGGGAATTTAAATGAAACCATAATCAATATAAAAGGAAAGCCTAGGTACCAAACTTATAAACTGCTTTACATACTTGAGGTCAACTCCCAGTCACCTATAGAATGAATCACTGAACACAAAATCAAAATTTTCTCTTTAACCAAAAATAACTAATAAGTAAAACTCAAGCAACAAAAGGACTGCTTCCATGTATGTAACTCAGAAACAGCAACCATCATTAACAAATCATAGAATTTGGACAGAATATATATGGATCAGAGGCGAAGGTACTCCATCCTATCAATCCAAGAATCCCAAACATAAATATTGATGATTATTCTGGAAGCTTACGTAAGGCCACCAGCCTGCAAATACAGACTGTTGCGGCCACATAACCATGGCACCCGTTGGAACATCCATATGCATATAGAAATACAACTGTGAAAATCAGAGGACCACAAAAGCTTTAACTTAGATAAAGCAGAATCCATCATGGGATGAATTGGACTGCCACTTCGGGAGTCCACACAAAATTATTTATGATGCCCTGGCAAGAAGAAATGAAGAATACTCAATATGAGTCCAAGAAAATATCACTTTTCTTCACAAGTATCTACTATCTTATACAAAGATTAATATTCCCATAGAATTTAGCAGCCAATATAAGATGAATTAATCTCCCTCAAAATATACAAGTCATCTAATGCTTAAGTGGCTCACCAAATGAAAGTATTCCCTTGCCATATGTTCCGTCAATCCCTTGCCATATGTTACAGTCAAAGTGTAGAAGTCAATCCCTTGCCATATGTTCCGTCAAGAAAAGGAGAATCAGTGCCATTGCTAGGGCACCAATTCTGGAGCTATGGCAAGTTCATGGGTAGAACATTTACCAAGGGAAGTGATGAGGTCAATTATTTCACCTTGACAAAGTGCATCTGTCAGCACAAGGGAGATTCTTGAAATTTGACTTCTCGCTAGTATCTATTTTCAAGGCATACATATAGTTGACCCGAAAACTTTTGCAAGTTAGACCCAGAGAGTGCAGCCATCAAGTGGATTTCGCATGCCAAGACCATGAAGGATCAAAGTGGCGAAGATGGATTAGGTGTCCAAGTGTTTTGATGGCTGCTATCTCAAAAAATGGTGTATGCAACCCCCTAAACAAGCGCTCAGTTAGAAAAAAGGAACGAAAAAATAGCTAAACAACTTCTCCAAGTAACCTTCCCATTATAATATGCAGAAATTTTGTGAAATAAGCCATACGGCATAGAATTGTCATGATGGCAGATACCATGCCCTGATTTTTACTATATTTGCAGCATCATTTGACATTGTAGTGATGAAAAACTAAGGCAGTTATACTAGCAAAGTAGCAACAGGAGATTAATTTTTCTTTCCATCCCTCCTGCATCTACGCAGAAGAATATGATTTTCAAAAGCCAATGGATTTCAACATGAAGTTGTACCTAAGTGAGCAGTAAACTTAATTGCTGAATGACATCAATTATGTGATTGGACTTCACAGCCTAAAAGGAAGAACAGGCACAAAAGCAATTTAGTGAATAGCATAAAACCTAAGCATTTCAAATCTTTTGAGCCTATGTCCAATCTACCTAAAAATCTGCAATTCACAAAATACAATACAAAAAAGACAATACCCATGTCTGGTTCTTAACTCGATCAGAGACCGATGGATCCAATCCAGGGAATCTAGCATTCTGAAACACCATGCATGCACATCAAATCAAAGTGCTATTCCATCCAGAAAATGCAACCAGATGAAAAGCACGCACTAAATCACCCTCTATGTTTCAATTATAATAAGAGTATGAAATAAATATCCCACTAAGGAATTGAACTTACCAGAGGAGAATTTCTATCTTCACCAATATAACTTGATTAAAAGAATTTCTATCTCCCACCTACATTGGTACAATCTCCTTTTCTTACCACCACATGAGTAACTCACGAGCCTCCTTGTGGCTTCCTCCAACGTTGGGCTGCGTAAAGCTCAACCTTGATGGTTGTTCCACAGGCAACCCAGGGCCATCAAGTATAGGTCTTTTTAGAGGCCACAAAGGCTCCACTTTGACCTCTTTCTTGAAGTCCTTAGGTCACTCCGATTTCCAATCAGCAAATGCTAGATCATATTTCTTGAGGGCCTCAAACTATTTGACAACTCTTGGGGCCAAGCTCTCACCATAGCAAGGGACTCCCACAATATTATTTCATGGGCCTCTGGTTCGGCTAACTGCCAGTGGCCCCTACTCCACATTGTTGATGAAATATCCCATGTAAGAAGATGACTTATGAACTTATGATTACCTGGAGACAAATATACCGCGAGAGTAACATAGAAGCCAACTCCTGCTAAAGAGGGCACGTCACAAGCCATAGGCTAAGCATTTTTTGCATACTCAGTCAGAGTCCCTTCTAAGAGTTCCCGCTCCCTTCCCCTCTTTCTCCTTCCTTTAATTACCGTCTCTAGGGATTTTGTATAGAGCTCCGTCCCCCTAGGGCAGCCATTTTTTATGTACAAAACCCCCCAGGTGGTCCTATTTTGTACTATCTTGTTTTCTTGTCAATACAACTTCAAAAAAAAAAACACAACCAATGCTGCACCCAACAATAAAATATTATTCTATTAGCAGAATTTGTATCTCCTACAGGACCCACATATCCAAGTCTAGCTCCACTATAGTTAATTGGTTACACAAAACAATAGAAGACAAGATTATACACAATGTATATTTTCTTATCAATAAGTTATAACACCATCCTAGCGGCCAAATGCAAAACTAGAATCATAAAATACAAAAAGCATTGTTGAAAAATAGGCTCAAATTGGAAAAGAGAACTAAATGACCTTAAGTTTTGCCAAAGCAGCCAAATCTCCAAGTATACATTGATACAAATTGGTGGATATTTGTTACCAATTTTATAACATATATGCTTGTTTACAGTAGCTAGAAATAAAGATTGACCAACACATTTGGTTCTATCAAAATATGTATATGAGAGTTTTGATGAATAACAGACAATTAATAATTGGGTGGGTTTTTGTCATTCACTTTTTACCGAATGATTTATAAGGTCATTGCAAGCGTTTCAAAAGCAGCCACAACCTAGCCTTTCCTCCCACCCAACCTGCAGCATTCCCCAACCTTACCATACACAACCTAGCCTTTTGGTTCACTACCCATGCAGCCTCATTGTCCCTTCCTCTTTCAACAACTTCCACCACCAAAAAGAAAAAAACATCTTTCTAGTCCCACAGATTGTCCATCCACCTATTTCAGACCTCCCCGAATGAATGTCAAATCATGGTGATCCAAGCAAGCAGTACCTCACTCCATGACCAGGCTGGAAAGTTCTCAAGCAACCATGCAATCAACTCCACTATCACTACCTACCCTCCTCTTTAATCTTGACTACAACCCTTCGTCCCATTTCTAAATCAAAAGACATTCTGTTCCCCACGTAAATTAGAGTTTGAGATAGAAATATCATTAACATGCTAGAAGACAATATAATGGAATTTGCATTACCAGGGTTTAATTAACTTGAAATCAATCTGGTCATGTATGTCACAATCCGTATTGAGATTGCCTATTAGAAACATTGAGTCACATCATAGAACATCATAGAACATAAAACTGGAATGGTTTGATAGTAAATTGAAGAATTAAGCGACTGCCTCAGACAAATCAAGGACCGCGCTTGCCTCGAAACTTAGCTACTCCAGTCTTCGAGACCTCACAAGTATCATCTCCCGGTGTTGACTTCGTCGGGACTTCAAATCGGCCTTGCAGTAATGCGATCTCATCCACAACACGAGCTTGGCGAGAAGCAAGCCGCGCCTTCTTTTCCTTGTGACCCTTCACGAGAGCTCGCTTCTTAGCCAATCTCTCCCGTAAAGAAGCTAGGTGTGTATCATGAGACGCTTGTTGCATAGAAGAGGTCTTCCACTGCATAGTTGCACCTCTCCAAAAACGTTTGCTAGTTTGAAGAGCAGACCTCAATTCAGGTACAAGTTCGAAAAGGATACATATATATAAATCATTTTCTTGAACTATTGGAAATTGAAAGGATGCCTATCATGCATGAGATGATTAAAAAAAGGAGGATTTCAAAGTAGACCATGAGAAATGCTCAAGTACCACTTTCTCATGTTATTAGTAATACAAAATGTACTATTTGGACTTCATGCCTCGCTTATGTCTCTCTTGTGTTCATACTTTTATTTTTAAAGGGAGTGGTTTCTATAGGTTGAGGCCTTATATATATTATTTATATATGTATA